AAATTTCAGAATGAATAATATTTTTTAAAATTTGCGTTTGTATAAACAGGCGCTGCGAGTTTCATGTTAAAATTTCTTTAAGTCGTATGACCATTGTGCTGTTGTATGAAAAGACCCTTAAATGCCGAATGATTGCTATATCAGGTACATTATTGATGTCAAATGGTCCAAACAATGGAAAAGTTATGTTGGTTATGAGAGCTGGGACAACTATAATGTAGGCGAGGAATCAGCTCATCCAGGACCTATAGACAATACCCCTATTTTACAAGGTAATACTATATTATATTAAACTGAAATAATAATCTTAACGTTAATTGTTTTGAAAAGAGATGATTTATTGCACATTTTAGTTTCTTATTTATCTTATATATTAGATATTATATGCATTACTTTCAAGGTTCAGTTTCATTATGTGTATTCGCAAACAACCTGCAACAATGGTTTTGATTTTTTTGTTCAAAGTACATATATACATATATATATTGATATCATTTTAATGATAAGTTTTGTTTTGAATATATTTAGAGGTCGATTCTTGATTGCTGCTCGCCATTATGCAATTATTGATCGATGATGTCAATGATGGCCGCAAACCTGAAGTAATCGATGGCCATTATCACAAAATGGCGAGCAGAAAGCAAGATAATTGCATATTACAAATGGTGTTTACATTGGCCAAATTTGATATATTTTAATCATACCTAACACTTGCTTTCAAAATCGTGCAATCTACATTGTCGTTACCAAAACATCTTACCGGAAACTTAAGTTTTTCCATTTCAGCATGTGCATTTGCAAATAGTTCCAAAAAGCCTACTTTTAAATTGTTTTTTAAGCTAGCATCACATCAGTAAATAAAGAATGTGTAAACAAAAGTGTAAAATAAATCTATTTTAGCACAGGTAACCTGCACCTTAAATCCAGCTATCCCAAACTTAAGTCAAAGATGGGAGATTTCTTAGGGCATGTACCTACCAATTATAAAAGTGAATGAATTAAGACTGTATAAGCAAAGTGTAAAAAATATAATTGTGACACTGACTGGCCCATGCTCCATATAATGGTAGCGGGCCATTCATGTTATGCTCCTACCAAATTAAAAAGATTATTATTTATAAGCAAAAGACTAAAAAAAATTGTTTCAAGCACAGATGACTATGACCTTAAATCAAGTGCCCCAAAACTCCAACTCCACCCAAACCATGGTATCTACTCATAAAATACATAAATTCATGAAGTTGATTTCATGAATTCGTGAAGATAAAATCTTGAATTTTAAGATTTTTAAAATAGTTGCCCTTAAATCTTTGCCAATTCCGTGTAAAAGATCCGTTGTAATTAAAAACTACGCCTAAATAGTTAAAATTGTCAGAAATTTCTAAAAGAATAGCATTTCATTATCTTTTAAAGGTCCTCTTTTCCTAAAAACCATTATTTTGGTTTTATTATTAGCCACCTCTAAACTCACTTCCTACAATATTCATATAAATTGTTCAAACTAGCTTGTAAATCCAGAATGCCATATCGTCTGCAAAAATCAAAATGATGACACACACATCGAATAATGAAAAACTAATGTCTTCTTGTTTTCGATATAATTAACATATACATTGCATTAAAAGTTACGTTTAGCAATTGAGACACAGATACAAAAGTAAAAACAGTTACTGCGGATGTTCTTAGATTATTTAAAGTAACATGATAGATAACATGATTAATTAATAAAAATACAGACATGACCCTTAAGTTGACTATGTTACCCGTATCCCCCAAATATATGTGTATGAAATAATCTTTGCATACATCATTAAATTATTGTACTTATGTTTTAACCTTTCAGAAGGAACGGGTAAATTGAAAGAACATTTGATAGATGATTTAGATTATAAACTTGTTCCTGAGGAATGTTGGGAAATGTTGCTGTCTTGGTATGGAATATTGGGAGGACAGGTAACAATTATTTTTCGTGTGAATATCTCTGTACGGTATGTTTATCAAATGACGTTTTTTGAAGGTGTACATACTCTTGATCAGTTTTTCTTTGAATTAAAAAAATAAACACAACCCTTATAATAAACACGAGGTATAGAAAGTGGCAATAAAGTATACATATTGTTATTAACATATAACATAATACACAAAATGTAACTATATTGTTAGTTCATGTACATTATATGGAATTAATAGATGCATTAAATGATGTTGATTTTCAGTGACAAGTAAACATATTTGGTTAAATTAGTTCAATGTTTTTGTAAGAACAGTGTGTGTTGCCACAGAATTTACATCATTATTTGATTCAACTAATTAATATGGTCATTATTCAGGGTACAGAAGCGAAAAAATATATTTTGTTATAAAGGTTAAGAGGGTGTTACATGTTTCGTTTGTTCAGGAACCATTACCAAGAAAAGTGATAGAAGAAGGTGTTTATAGTAAATCGTTGAAAGTGGAAGTTTACTTGTGGCATCTAAAGATTTGTGATAACTCTAAACCAGATGATGTCATTACAAAAACTTTCAGCAGAGGTGATACAATCCGTAAGATCATTTTTGTCATGTCGTTTTGTAAAGTTTATTTATTTTTTTTGTCTTTTTACAAAATTTAAAAAAATATATTGCGATAAAACTATTTCGAAATGGTCAATTTACTTATTTAAAAGGAAAACAAAAAACAAACAAACTAACTAACTAACTAATTAACTAACTAACTAACTAACTAACTAACTAACTAACTAACTAACTAACTAACTAACTAACTAATTAACTAATTAACTAACTAACTAACTAACTAACTAACTAACTAACACAGGAATGAATAAATAAATAAATAAATAAGTTAAATCATGTTTAATATTCTTACATTTTCACATTATTAACAGTGATCAATTTATTCCATCCATATGTAGGAAACCTTGAAGAAGTAATGCGTAGTGAATTTAGCATATCCAATGATAAAGAAGTCCGGTTATGGAATAGGTATATGACAAACATGTACGAACAGTTGAAGAACAAAGACAATACGTTAATGGAAGCAGGGTTATATCTGAATCAAGTAATCTTGATAGAGCAGAAAAATCCCGACGGAACATGGCCTAGAGAAATTAAAAAAAAAGATTAAATAAAAAAGTAACTTAAGTAACGTGTATGGTTTTAAAGTTGATAGATTTTGTATAACACAATGAACAGAATGTGGTTTAAGTACGGTTGGTTCTTAAAAAAATGAAAATGGAAATTTAGCTAAAGAAACGATACTCATTACAACTATAAAACATCAGGTTAACAAATGCATTTGCACAACGTTTCTGTGCATGCATTTCATTTAAATACTTTATAGATGAAAAACTATTTTATTTATTAGAGTAGAGCACTGTCAGTAACATTTTCATGTTTCTTTTGTTTTTTGTTTTGTTTTTAAATTGGTTAAATAAGATACTTTCGTAACTTTCTTTGATTGTTTTACTTGTACCTGTATATATGCAAATACGATGTACTAATTTTGTCACATATATGCTATGGTATTTATGTTTTAGTCTATGCCACAGTGCTCAATACATGTATATGCAAAGACTGAATAAACGTTCTGTTTTGATTAAAATATAAAATAAACATGTAACACTTGCACCTTTATATTGCCCGATGCATCTTTCAGCTCTGAAGACATTTTGGTATATATATAATTATATAAGAATTGTCGTTTTGCACTCGGATATTAACCATTGTTACGAAAGCATTTTTACCAGTCTAATTGAACTCATTTTAAAAGATATTCAGAACCTTGTTATTTCAAGATTCCTTATAATGTATCATTATAAATTGTGTTGTACATGTTTTAGGTGTACATTTCTTAAAGATGTTAATGCTTTCTTTGATCCCACCTGTCATACTGACACAATTTAATATACATGAACTATGATCTACATCTTTTGTGTCAATAGTGAAGTGAAATATGTGGATAAATATAATCAATATAGTTAATCAATATTAACGATATAATCATATTTGTTCTGCATAGCGTTATGTAGATTAAATACCTAGGTACAAGTATATATGTCAACTTTTTACTTATGTTAGCTAAGCACATGTGTATTTTTATTTATTCATCTATTTCAACATTTTGTTTTGGTTAATATTGAATCGAAATTCAATACATTTACCTTAACTTGTGTGATTTAAATAAGTGAAATACAAACATTAATGTATATTATATTTGTATAGTTTGTCGTCCACTGTATTCTGTAATGTTTACAATTTCATTACAATAATAATGTATATGTTCATTATTCTTTATGTTGTTATAACCTGTAGACATCAAGGAACGCCAAGGGAAGAAAAAACGAATGCCATAAATGTACCATAGATGTAACATAAAAACAGTTTTAGTAAAATATTCCTCCAAATATGTCCAAAAGTTATAACTTAAGGAAACAATTTGTAACACCATATTTCCGTTGATGGCCTTTTATTAAACTTCGAATTATTCAATCAATTAATCAAAATGTTGTTTTGTATGATTTTTCTGTAAATTAGTATGCACATTGTTATTCCACGTTTATCACATGTTCATGTATATTGGCTATATGTATGCTCATGTTATTTTATGACAAATAAAGATTTTGTTATGTATATTGTTTTCATGGGCTTATCAGCTTTATTTGATTCAAATAAATGTCTGTGAAATGTAGTCAACGAAAAAAATATAGATCTATATGTAGAGAGTTGCATAAATATTTTTTTCCATATATATAAGCTTGCCAATGTCAAGGTTTAATTGTGACGTTTATAGGTAAGATCTAAAACTGAAACTGACAGAAACCATTTAAGCTCACCAGAACGGAAGGTTCAGGGTGAGCTATGAGTATCAAAGGGGGATGCTCCGGCGTCCGTCGTCATGCGTCAACAATCATCTTTTTCTCTGAAACTGCTGGGCAAATCTACTTCAAATTTGGTCTGTAGCATAATTATGACAGTCGCACTTTAATTCGCTTATATCATTTCAATTCGCCCGTTTTAGGTGCCAACAGAGCTAAAAATAGAAAAACCTTAGAACTAATTGATGGATGATCACCAAATTTTGTCTGTAGCATTCTTAGATAATCTGTTATCAAATTTGTTCAAATTTATTTTATCCGCTCATATCATTTCAATTTGCCCCTTTTAGGTGCAGAGCTAAAATGGAATTTTTTTAAACATCTCCTACTAAACTAATTGATGGAATGATAACCAAACTTTGTCTATAGCATTCTTATGTAGTCTTTTATCAAATTTGCTAATATTAATTTGATATGCCTCTTTTAGGGGTCGCTTAAGCTCAAAATAGAAACAGCTTTTCTATGTTTCTCTTCTTCTTTTGAATTTATTGATTGATGAATGATCGCCAAACTTTGTCTTCTGCATTCTTAAAGGATTTTTATCAAGTTTGCTCAAATTAATTTGATGGGCCCCTTTTAGAGGCCGCTTGATCTAAAAAGGAAAATGAAATATGTAAACATCATCTTCAACTGAACTAATACATGGATTATCACTAAAGTGTGTTTGCACATTTCTCTTTTTTTTTCAAATTTGCCCAAATTTATGCGATTGGTTACTTTTAAGACCTCGAGAGTCAAAAATAGAAACATTTTTAAATAGCTTTTCGAAATAAATTGTTTGAAATACTAACTTGTTCTGTCTATTTCTTACTATGTTTTGCTTTTTATGTCAAACCCTTTATCATAACCATTACTGCCACTTCATGTATTATTTTCAATACAAGCAGACATATTATTATAGAGGCTACCGTGAGCACCATGTTAAAATCGTTGACTTTAAATCATTTTCCTCTCACCACTGTAGGTTCGATACGATTGGTCTTTTGGATTCTAACCATCTAGCTAGCATACAGAATGTAGGTGGTCATACTCTGGTGCCACTCTATTTGAACATATTAACAGGCCTAAAAATAGTTATGGTTAGGGTTACCTACCCTTTCCCCAAAGAAAAATTTTTCTAAACCCAAATTTTGTTTGAGTTTTCGGGGTGCGTTTCCTTTAGCTTTTAAAATTGGGTTTACACATTTTCACTCTAACGGGTTAAGGAAAAAAAAACTAATAAATTCTTAATGAAAAAAAATTGGGAAAAAAAAAACCCAATTTTAAAATAAATTGCCCAAGTATGAACAATTTCAATGATTAAATAATAAAAATAATAAAAAAAGCCACATACCGTTCCTATTTAAAAAGGGACTTTGTTAACCTAACCACAACATTTTTTTTTCCCATAAAAGCCCAAAACAGTTTTGGGAAAACCCAAAATTTTAAAAAAAAGTAAATTGGCTGAATCTAAAAATTTTTTCCCAAGCAAAAAAACAATATTCGCTTTTTAAAAAGGGCCCCAAAAAAAACATCAAAAAAAACATTTATTTCCCTTTTCATGGGATGATTAAAACAACCCAAAATTTTCCCTTAAAAAATGTGTCCCTTGCTTATCTAACTGTTCGCAAATACATTTTACAAATAAAAATGTAAATGATTGTACTTTACAAAAACAGTGATAAAATAAGCAATTGCCCACTTGCCCGGCAGAGTTGAAAATTGGCTGGGAAAGTTAGTCACGATATTTACTGTTCCGCCATGCAAGTTCTTTTTTCACGAAAAAGAATACATTCCTTTTTCCTTCTTTTCCGTAGTTTTTGCTTTTTGAGTTGTATAATAGCCAACTGTTATCCTGATTAATAATTGATTGAACGAAAAAGAAATTAAAAAGGTTCCAGTATGAAAAGGAAATGAGAAAGCGTGAGTTGACATGCTTAACTTGCCAGATGTACAGTAACAACAAACTAGGGTCATTTGTGAAAGGAAAAAAACAAACCCCCAAACAATCGGTGTCGGGAAACTATATAACTAAAGGGGCAAATTAAAATTGAGCTGGACTTGTATTTCAAGATCATTTGAAAAATTCTTTTCTAACACTGAAAAAAAAAACAAACAAACAAAAATTATTTCTGGTAAAATCAAAGCATAGAAGGCGCTGAATTTGTTTGATAATATTACTCAAGAAGTAATTTTTTTATATAATTTTCATAATATATTTTTAAAGAAATTTAAAGGGTTTAAACTGTAACTTAGATTTAAGTTTATTTTAAAGTTTAACAGAGACATATAATGTTATCTATGTCTCTGAGTTTAATGATATCAAGCCTGTATATATTGTTTTATATACATTTCATTCTTACCATTCACTAGTTTAATGTTGATTATAACTGTATTGAGCATTTGTAAAAGTTATTGATACACTTTTGCATGGCCTAAAACTCTTTATATATAAAATATAGAAAATGGTTCTACTTTCACTTACACTGATCCTTAAACTTAGTGAGATACAAGTTACTGATTTAGCATTTTCCATGAATCATAATCTATTTTTAGAATAGTTAAGTAAAGAACTGATAAGCCTAGAGCATTTGTTAAGTAAATTCTGGTTGGCTGTAATTTGACCAATCAGATATGTTCTCACATACAGTGCCACCTGTATGTAGATGCTAGCTCTGTAGGAGCACATTTGTCTCGGAGCACATTTGTCTCACGAAGTGTGACCGATGTGCTCGTAAACATTCATATTTGCGATAAATTGGAAATGAGACAGATGTGTTCGACACACAATAGAAAGGACACTCGAAGCACTGTAGGAGCACATTTGTCTCGGAGCACATTTGTCTCACGAAGTGTGACCGATGTGTTCGTAAACATTCATATTTGCGATAAATTGGAAATGAGACAGATGTGTTCGACACACAATAGAAAGGACACTCAAAGCACATTTGTCTCACATTTTTCCATAAAATTCTTATAAGGTAATAATTATGCCCATCTGTATACCGGCTTACCAGCAATTGTTCTGTGTTTTCTATATTTATAATACAGTTTTAAGGTCACTTCCGGTCAGTCAAAAACTTCCTACCTCTGCATAGGAGTCATTATATTAAATTAAAAATATCCCTGTTCTGCAATGTCACAATGAAAATTTTACAAGTGGCAGCATCAAGAACCTAAACACATATGCAACAAGTCTATTCTTATCGTTATTCATTGTGATACGTTTATTTTTAATGCTTAAAGTTTTATAGATGATTAATGGCACTAGGAATATTCTTAGCAAAAACAGGTAGTATCAACGGTGCCATAAAGGTAACGGTGTCCTTATCGTGCCATTTAGAATGTCGTCCGTCGCGTCTAAGGGTAGACACACGACCAATGCGAAGTGACATCGCGACAATGCGAAGCGACGCTCGACAACGCGAAGCGATATGCGACAATGCGAAGCGACGCTCGACAGTGTCAAACGATATGTCGCACTGTCGCCTAGAAATGTCGCGGTAAAAAAGGGCGACATTTAAGAAATGTCGCTTCGCGTTGTCGAGTGTCGCTTCGCATTGTCGAGCGTCGCTTCGCGTTGTCGCGATGTCACTTTCGCGTTGTCGCGATGTCACTTCGCGTTGTCGCATTGTCACTTTGCGCATTGTCGAGTGTCGAGGTTTGGTAGAAGTGCATACACGACACTCGACAATGCGAAACGACAACGCGACAATGCGAATACGACGCTCGACAATGCGAAGTGACACTCGACATCGCGAAGCGACATTTTTAAAATGTCGAGTAAATGTCGCGTTATTTTTATGATTTTTTACACCGCGACGCTCACATTGCGAAGCGACACTCGACAAATGCGAAGTCGACACATCGACACGCGAAGCGATACTCGACATACGCGAAGCGACACTTCGACAATGCGAAGCGACATTTGGAAATAATATCGTATCGCATTGTCGTGCGTCTACCGAGTGCTTGGTCAGGAATTTACTAACTCACCGACAAACGGTGCGATCATGGAAGGGGTCGCCCTAAACTCTGACGAATGATATGAAACGATATATATGATATAGGAACATTTGCTACTCATTTTAAATATAAGAAGGATTTCTCTGGACTAATTGCTGACTTCCTTACAGCAAATGAAGTGGTAAATCATGTGAGGTGTGAATTTATATTATTACAAGCTCTGTAGGGGGTATATGAAAAAGATTTGTGAATATTACTTTTATTCTTTTTCCATTATATTATTTTGCATTTATATCTGACTTGTTTATTATAACTAGATAGTTAATTTTTACATGTACTATTTTTAAAGTATTACTGAAATATCATACTAGTTTTATAAGCTACGGATTCATTACTAGCATGTATTTATAATCCGTGTATTAAATATTTATGGATAAATTTATAACAGTTTTTTTATCCTCTAGTATGCAAATGAATTTTAATTATATTGTTATAAATTGATATTATGATTTATTAGTTTTTATCAAATGTTCTTGTTATTGATTATTCTAATTAGAATAATTTTGTAACGGAAAATAATGGTGATTTCCATATGCAAATATATTGCAATTTGAATTGAATTATTAAGTTAGTTTCATTGTTTAACTTAATTATAATGTGCTGATTATATAATTATACAATAGTATTGTATATTTTTCGTATCATTTTATTATACTTATAGATTAGATAATTTTCACGGATCAATAATTGATTTTTTCTTATTATTTTTCAACTGGTTCAGTCAGTTTCCTTATATATTCTTTATATTGTCATGTCATGTTTCGTACTTATACATTGTATTATTATACTGGTCTTATCAGTTTCTCGCCTGATATTGTAAAGAGCTTGTTTTAATTGCTTATCCATTATTAGATATTAATGGGATTTTAGCTGGCTTAAACAATTTTGAATTAACATTATAATTGGTCCAGTCAGTGTTTTTACTTAATTTTAATGATGTCCGCTACATAATTTTATAACAAATATAATTGAATTGTCATACATGAATGATATATTTAATTTGATATTACTATTATTTCACGGTATAATATTATATATTTTTCTGTCAAATATTATGTTATTATTTCTGGTCTGGCATCAGTTCTCCTTATGATTATTCTTAACTGGTCATTTCAGATTTCTCATATATTTTTATTGTTTTAACTTGGTCAGCATTTTCTGTGCCTGAATGTAAAGTAGCTGTTAAATTTTTGCTGATCCTATATATTAAATAAGAAGAGTTTTTACGGCTTAAATCAATTTGAATTAACATTAAATTGGTCAGCAGTGTTTTTACTTAATAAATTGTCGACATAATTTATATAATATATAAAATTTGCATACATTATAAAATGAGTAACAATTTCACGGCAAAATATATTTTTCTCTATATATCTAACTGGTCAGCATTTCCCTATATATCTAACTACAACTACAACTACAAATATTTTTTTGCATTAAAACAATCATGTTCCATAGCAATACAATTTTTTTATACAAAGACATGGTTTACAGAAGAGCCCTCAATAATATA